CTCTCTACACACACTCAGCTCCTCCCACTGACTGAAGAACTCATCTTACACTCTTACTCTGTTCTCCAGAGTCTGTTATAACTATCTGATCCTGAGTCTTTAATAAGACTATTTTTTGCAAAAACATATATAATAAATGTAAATTCATTATTAAGTTGTTAGTAGTGCAGAGTCTGATTCTGAAGCAGAGGAGATCAACAGATCCTCCTTAGTTTGAGCTACACTTTACATAAACTACATGCAACATGCTGTGTATGTATGAACTATTTCATCAACTCAAAATGAGTGGTGAAAATTTAATCACAATGTAATGCAAATACAGACATTATTTGTAAGTAAAATTATTTATATACACTGCCATTGAAATGTTTGAAATCATCATGGGCATTGCAAGGCCAATTTTATGAGAGCCAAATGTTGTTTAGCCCCCTTTTCCTAAGTAAATGTACATTGCTAGTCCAAATCATTTATAGTTTATTCTCAATCACAATATACTGTAATAGCAGGGTGTGATCTGGGGGAGGCGCTGCTGCTCCTGCTTTAATGCAATGCTGCCTCTGCTGTACTACCAGAGACTGACTGACGTAACATTGGGCAAATCATGTGAAACCTCATATGTTGTAAGCCAATCATATCAGACTTCATATTTTGTAAGCCAGTCATACCAGACTTGGGGGAGGGGCTCTGGTTATGAACTGCAAAGTAATCAATAACCAAACTGAAGGTAGGATTTTGGCTAAAAGCTCACTAAAATAAACATTACACCTTATTCAAAATCTATAATTTACAGAGTGAAGAAGTGTGAAACAGAGTGAATGTATTACCTAAGATATAGATTTGTGGCCAGTTATGGTCAGTATAGCTGGATATCTGTTCTTTTACTTGGCTACTTGCTCTAGCTAGGAACTTTAGTTAACTTTGGGTTGAAGTGAGGGAAAGGAGTCTCTGGTTTAATCTCACTTCTTAGTGAGTGTGAGAGTGTGAATGAACAAGAGAGATAGAAATAACATTATTGACAGCTCTATTCTTTGCTTTTAGATTTCTCTTTAGTATTTGGAAAGAAAGACAGCAGTATTTGCCATATAATGTTGTTTACAGTAAGTTAGTGAAAAGGACACCAGAATCTTGTTCAAATTTTACCATTGCGAAGAACCAGAATGTAACTGCTGCAGCATTTCTGGTGGAACAGAAAATTCAAACAAGAAGATGATTTCAGCTTTGCGTAAAAAGGTCATCATAAAACTGTTTTATATCCCCCAATTTCTCAACCTGTAGATGGAAATGAAAGGCAGCAGCATCCATATTTAATCCTACCGGATGAATATACATGCACATTCACTGGAAGCAACAGGGACATTAAATCCAAAATTCTATGAAGATGGAATTCCCAAAGATTTGTACATTTCTCTGTGTAAACTAGGGAAAAAAAAACTTGATGTTTTGGCTGCACCTGAGTAAACTTTGACAAAGTTACTGGCAAGTGGCACTGCTTTTATAAAGGCACAAAAAAATTATATTGTTGGCCCTCACATCTATTTATCAATGTGGTGGTTGTATCAAGAGCATGAAGATCTTCTGAAAGAGGAATCACAAAGTGACAATTTGAAATCATTTAAAAACAAGGATAGTCTTAAAAATGTAGACAATCTTCATCAAGTTCACTTTTACCGCAGAACAAATTTAAAAAGATGACAGCATCTCTATGAACACAGAAGAATTCCAGAGACTTTGCTTCTCAATATCAAAAACATTAAGAGGAGCACACCAGCTAACTTTGATTCAACAGAAACAGTCTGCCCAATACTGTCCAGAACCAATACAACTTGACCTATCAGAAACAAAGGAGACTAGTAATACAAGAGTGTATGGTTTGACCTGGAATCTTTACGTCATGTGGAGGTTCTTTAATCTTTAAACATGTTTTTCACACTCACACATCTTTACCAAAATGTTTCTATAAAGAAACATAAGGGTCTTCTATGGCATTAGCAGCTTTATTGTTTTGTTCATCTTGTAAACATTTAGCATCATAGCAGCCAATCATACAGCATGATCTCACCAGTGACATCACTGAAGACAGCCTGTAAAAGGTTGAGCTCAGACTAAGGGATAATTAAATATACATTTTATGGGTTACAGGGGGGCGGTACGGTGGCACAGTGGGTAGCGCTGTCGCCTCACAGCAAGAATGGCCTGGGTTCGATCCCCGGCCAGGTGACTAGGGTCGTTTCTGTGTGGAGTTCGCCTGTTCTCCTCGTGTCTGCGTGGGTTTCCTCCCACAGTCCAAAAACATGCAGTCAGGCCAATTGGACATGGTAAAATTGCCCCTAGGTGTGAGTGGATGTGTATGTCTGCCCTGTGATGGACTGGCGACCTGTCCAGGGTGTATCCTGCCTTTTGCCCAATGACAGCTGGAATAGGCTCCAGCACTGCGACCCAGAAGGATAAGCGGTTTAGATGATGGATGGATGGGTTACAGGGTTACAGGGTTACAACAGGTAGATGGGAATGGATGTTTTTTCTAAGGCTAGAAAGCAGTTAACCTGCTTTTTCTCTCATTTTACTGGCTGCCTCAAGTGAACCAATCAGATTCTGTCCTTGTAGTACAGAGTCTGATACTCTAGCAGAGCAGATCAACAATTCATATTATTTGTTTTCTTACAGGTGGCACAGTGGTGCTGTCACCTTACAGTGAGAAGAACCTGGGTTCGATTGCTTGGTTGAGACATGCCAAAAACAGTCCAAAAGACATGCAGTTAGGCCAATTGGAGATGCTTGTGTGTATATGAATGTATATGTCTGTCTGTCTGCCCTGCGATGAACCGGCGACCTGTCCAGGGTGTTTCCTGCCTTCTGCCCTATGACTGCTGGGATAGGATCCAGCTCCCCCTGTGACCCAGAAGGATAAGCGGTTTAGAAAATGTGTGTGTGTGTGTGTATGTGTGTGTATTAGTGTGTGTGTTTATGTATTATTCCCTCCTCTTCTATTTGAATTATTATTTTGGCCACAAAACTCCTGACGTTCTTTATACCAGAATTAACTCCAACTAGAATAAAACAGGATATTTTTTATGCTCATATGTAAGCAAATTTAGTGATAGTGAGTGCAGGACTGTATTGAAACATTGTGTAGTAGGATTTTAGCTTTTTGTAACTCTTGTTGGAGACAGAATGTACAACATTTATCTATTAAATTCTGGTCCTGCAAAGCAAGCATCGCCCATCAACTTGTAAGTAACCTTGTCCACATTTAAAAATCAGGGCCTTCTCAGAGCGGGAATGGAGGGGGAAGGAGGAGGAACTCAGAGAGACAAAGCTCAGCTAAGTACAGAGAATCCACTGACACTTTCTAGACACCACAGGCATACTGCATATGTAGCTGGGCATTCAGGCCATCACTGACTACAAAGTGACATAACAGGCTCGTGATGGTGATGCCTCACTCCCAGAAGCACTGAAATATTTCAACATGGGGTTTGAGGCAAAGAACAACCAGCCAGTGATGAAGACCACTCCTCCCACCAACCAAGTACTTAGTCTATCCACAGTACATGTTAGGGCTAACCTTTCCAGAGTTGACCCTCAGAAAGCTATTGGCCCTGACAACATATCTGGTTGAGTTCTCAGTAAATGTTCTGACCAGCCTGGGGATGTCCTAACTAAACATCTTCAACATTTCTCTGAGCCAAGCAGTTGTATAAGATGGCTTCAAAACAACTATCATCATCATCATCATCCTCCACTGTACATCAATGGTTAAACTGTGGAGAGAGTCAAAAGCTCCAAGATCCTTGGTGGCATATCAATGATGACCTCACCTTGACCCTCAATATAGAGCATCCTGACCAGCAGATTGTGAGAAGAACTGAGAAGATCATCGGGGAGTCTTTACCCACCATCGACACCTCCTTCCAGGGCCACCAGCATTATGGACGACCCTTTTCTCCCCTCTCATGGACTCTTCACCCTCCTGGTGCAGGAGATCTGCTCCACCACAATCAGACTCTGTAACAGCTTCTTCCCTGAGGTGGTCTGATTACGGAACACAGTGATGCTCCCCAGCACCCACCTGGATTTAATTTACACCCTTTCCAACATCCACCATAGACACCCCTTTATCATCACTGCACACCTGCACTTTAATTTCTTAATTATTTGAACACTGCATTGAGAGTTCAATCTTTTTGTGTAGCTCACAGTTGACAATATTTGCACTAGTTCTTTCATCACTTACATGCTGCTTTAATGCTTATCCATGCATATATGTGTGTATATACATATATAATGCTGATTTGTATGTATTGTTTTGTTGTCCTGTCTAGTATTTTATTGTCTTGTGCTTTTATTATTCTATATATTTATTGTCTGGTGTATTTATTGTGTATTCTGCCCTTGTTTCTCACTGTCATGTATCTGCACTGTATGTAGTGCTGTGTAATATTCTGCTGTTAGGTGTTGCACCATGGGGCCTTAGGAATGACATTTCATTTTAGTGTATACAAATTACACTGAGGAATGACAATAAAGATCTTTTGACTTGATGATATAAATCAGTAGCAGTGCTCTGTATGTTGAATGCTGAATGAGGTCAAGTCTGTCTTTCTGCTCCCTGTATAGATTCTCTACACTGAGTTCAGTAAACTCAAACGCAGGCTGTGCTTTTCTACAGTAACAAACTGTAACTGTCAGTGTTGCTGGTGAACACCACTTCTTAAACATTCACATTCTAAACTTATTCATTCTGAAGTCTTTATAGTGGTTTCATTCCTGTTTTAAACATGAATTGTAGTTACATATTTGTGTAATGGAAGGATGATAAAAATGATATGAATAATGATGTTATAATACACATAAAGTAAAATTAGAATATTCAATTTAATGTCTGACAACAATAATTTATTTTCTGTTGGAGAGTTCCACACACTGCTCCCATAAATGTAACATACATGTTGTCATCAGTGTGAGCTGAGCTGAGTAGGTTTTTGTTGGAGTTGTGAGTGTTATGTAGTCACAGTGGGCTGCAGAGCGCAGTAATACACAGCAGAGTCACTCACACTCAGCTTCTGGATCGTCAGTGGAGCTGTTGTACCGGATAGTTTGGAGTGAAATCTCTTTCTGAACTCTGCTGCTGTATCTTCAGCTCCATATGAATTTGTCAGCAAAATATATTTTGGAGAGTGATGATCTTCCTGTTGGTACCACAGCAGAGTTGGATTTTGAGCTGTGGTGTTATATTCACAATCTAAAGTTACTGTTTCTCTTTCAGATGCCCACTGCTGTCTTCTTGACTGGAAAACTGTGTCCTTTCCTCGACATTCTGTGAAGATACTGAAATATGTTAGTGTTTCCAAAACTGCAGTCAGCATCAGACATGAACAGTAAAGCAGTACTTTATTAATGGAGATTATACATTACCTAAACAACATGCAAGAAGTATTAACAGAGTCCTTAGAAAATGTGTCCTGGTAAAGCAGTTCATCATGCAAAACCCATCAACAGCAAACCATGCAAGCTGCTCTCTGTCTGTCTGCTGTTATGTTTATTCTTTACTGAGGTACAGGATTTTTTTTTTTTTCTTTTTTTAACTTGAAGAATGGAGCAGCATTTTCAAGAAGTATTATTGATGTTGAAATATCTCCCCCTATTGGTGCATCATATAATTCTTCAATTCTTCATAATTCTCAGCCTAAGTGAGCTCAAAAAAGAGAATGACAATCTGAGTTCATGTGAAGTGAAAAAAAAAACATGATATAAATAAAAAAATAGTATATTTTACAATACATTTGTTAAATGTCATATTGAATATTATACAGCCTAAGAAAATTTTGAATTGTTATTATGTTGTAGTTTTTATCCAACTTTTCATTGTAACCTTTGGAAGCAGATGATGGTGAATTTCTTCTTCTCTAAAACTTACTCAGATGTCACCAACCGAAGTCAACTGAATATAAATCAAACAACCTACATCCACTGTTATTGTTAAATGAAAACAGTACTAATGAGATTCCTGTCTGTCCTTAGAGAGGATTTTGTACAAGTGAACAAACAAATAATAACCAGTAAAGATATCATGGAAAAGATCAATTAGATCCTCACAGGCAGCAAAAAAGTTGTAATTAAAAGTTTTAATTAAATTTAATAAAACATGTAGAGACTGTTTATACTGTTTGGTTGTAAAGTTGTTTGTTGACATTAAGTAATGATAGAAAAATGTTCTGTTTCCAATGGCCTCAGACCGACCCACCTTACCCTGAGACCAAGACATGACTTGAGGCAAAATGATTTGGAGACAAAGACTGGAATTAAGTACTAAAACACTACTGAATGTACTGATAAGTCTACATGCTGAACAATGATACTCTATTTTACTGTCAGGGGCTCAAGCCACTAGGGGGCTCCCTGCAAGCATTCATCACAAAATCTAAGCAATTACTTGAACAGCTGGCTAAAAAATATTCTGATTTTATTTATTTATTTATTTATTTATTTATTTCATCACCACTCAGCTGTCTTAACTGGGGTACTTGTTTGTGAACACACACTTTATAGAGAGGTGTTGCATTGGTTTTTGGGTTTATGTTAAATCATTTTTGTTGATGTATATATTCTCACTATTTTCACTGCTGTATCATACTGGAATATGTAGGATGACGACTGCACTGGTAAAACTAATTAAACACAGTAATTGAACTGTAAATCCACCTCTGCTGATATTATTATCCCTGCTTGTAACATTTTTCACCTTGTAGCCTTTTAGCTTCAGTTTATGAAGAGAGTTTGCTGATTCATTCAAAATCATTAAATAATATAACATTTTTTTTATTCTGTTAAATCTATATGAATAGAAAGTGAAATAAAAAAATCTATAGCTTGAGATGAGTTTGAACTTAAGCTCACACCACTTTTTACAGTCGTATGAAAAAGTTTGTGCACCCTGTCAAATTACATGCTTTATTGATTTTCCAAGTGAAAAAAAAAAAAAGGAACATTTCCTTATTTTAATGCGCAATTATTTTTATTTGCTGAATTTAATATATATCAGTGCTTTGTCTAATCTGCTGCAGGACAATGTGGTGCTTCTCTACCCGGGAGCAGTATATTCTGTAAAACCATTATTATAAAAAACAACCAAGCTCTACAAACAGCTGTAGTCTATAGTTTCACTTAGACTGTTTTACCTGAAAAGTCTTTAATAATGTTAAATTAATAATGATCTAAAGTAGATTCTTAAAATATCACTTTCAGTCCTCATAAATTAAGAAAGAAGACAGCAGTCAATGCTAACAGGAGCAAAAGAAAGTAAATTTAACTGGTGGGTTAGCTGATGTTGATATCGCAGATGGAAGTGAACAAAAAAAATCCTTTGTTTTGTAAATCTTTTTCATCAAAGTCTGATCTCATAATACTTATTTTTCAATCCTTTGTTTCCATGATCTGCTATGATAAATTACATGTACCAATATAAGTGTGTATTTGACTTGTATTTCTTAAAAATGATAAATTGAAGTGTTCTTGAAAGGAAATTACTCATCAGACTCTGGAGTTCAAAGATGCTTGCAAAGTGAAAACATAATAATTAAATGACGCAGTAACTCTGCCCATTTTATCATTTATTTATTGATTTTTTTCATGTAAATATAAAGAATATTGCAAATATGCCAAACCAAGTAAAAATAAAAAGCGATAATTTAAGCTGCATGAAACATGAGGCTTCAATTCTAGTCATGTCTATTCTGGCTGTAGGGAGTGACTTTATAAGGGTGATTCCTACAGTTGGCATACAGTCATGCTTCCTTGTTACCGTGAACAGCTGTACAGTCCAGAATTTTATGCTGAGTGACTGAGAGGAGTGAACTCCAGATCCTCAAGCTTTGCCATAGACATTTAACAAATTGAGGCACCTCCTATGATCACTTTGAGCTGATGTCATGAGAAATTAATATGTGACCTAATTATTTTCTTTGTGACATACAGTACCAGAAGCTATAATGAGAATCAGTAGCAGTGATCTGTGTGTTAAAAGATGAATGTGACCAGGTCTCAGAGTCAGTCCTGTCCTCCCTGGAGCCCTAACCAAATCCTGCACGGGCCTTCGTATTGGACCTGTGAGCAATTCACCTGACACCCCAGTGCTCCCACATGAATTCTCCCACCTCTAAAACAGTTGGTTCCATTGGCTCCATCTGTCAGTCTAAGAACAAGTTGACCTATACAGAACAAATAGAAGTGTAAAGAAACAATATTTATCAATCAGTCAGTTTACTCCTCTACTGATAAACGTAGCATAGCACCTGAAAACATTATAGCTAATACCTTTATTAATTTCATCAGCTGCTATGCTAAGTTTACTCTTCTACTAATAAACTTAGTGTAGAACCTGAAAAATTATAGCTAATGCTCTTATTAATTTTATCAACTGCATCAGGCCCATTCAAACTGACTCCCTCAGATTTCTTTTTATACATTTTCAATGTGAAATAGTATTTATACTGTAGCTTGGCTAAATACTTGATGGTTATTTACTGAGAGACATGCATCTATATTGCCCAGTATGCCCAGACTTTTCCTGACTGTATGATCATGGGGATCAGAAGAGTGTAAACCATATTTCTTGGTTTCTTTTTGATATATAAAATTACACACATAAGAAGGTAATTAACCAAGTATAGAATTATAAACTAAAACTTACTAATGAATCAGCATATGCATAGTCAATGAGGACAAAGCTGTTCTTTCATAAACGACACAGCGGTCAGTAATCAACCAACAATTGCTAATAAATCTTAAAGCACCATAAAAAACTGATGGTACAAAGGTGTGTGCATATAAATGACACGTCTGTAATTAAATACTGCTAAAAAAAACCAAAAAACATTACACTTAGGGGCAGTATTGGACAGGTTACTGGAGCAGAGATACGATAAGAAAATCATTAGTTTCACTAATAATCTTTCTCTGCTGGAAGCTACAGCCTGAGTATGGAAAGAGCTCAAACAGAGGAGTGTGAAGTCCAAAAATTGTGAAGGAAAAAAAAGTATGGGAAAAAAGAGTTTACTAGTGTTATAATAAAGAAATAAATATAATATATATATATATATATATATATATATATATATATATATATATATATATATATATATATAATACATATACTCTTTTCAACCTGGCCCTGAATGGTCTTCAAAAATATGCTTTTTTTTGATGCTTCAAAAATAGCCAAGGTTGGGACCTCAGTGTACTCATGGTATGTATGCCTTATGGTAGTTATCTTGCACCCAAAGAACATTTAAAAAGGTTTTGAAAAATTCTGAATGTCTCTGATCTTTGCAAGTCTTAGGATTTGTGGGAGGTCTCAAACTCCACAACTATCTATTCAGAATGTCAGTCCTGATTGAGCCTTGAAATTTTTTTCAGCAGTGGCAACTGAGGGCATAAAATCCCACAGTGTGCATCAAGTTTAAATGTCTGCTTTTGTCTGCCAGATGTGCATAACACCTTTTTTGACATTCAGTCATTATAAAGATAGTATAATAACAGATAACACACTGTGGTTTGGATGTTACTTTGTCTGCCAAATGAGCATGCAGACTTTTTTATTACCACATTCACTTGTTTCAAAGAGAGTGTAATAGATAACACACAGTGTTTTGGATGTTACTTTAATCTTCTTGTGTTCAAAGCAAACAGAAGGTGTGTGAGTTTTTGTAAAGCGTCTCAGAGACTTTGTATCACTGGGCTCCAACTCTACGAGCACAGTAGTAGAGAGCTGTATCTGACAGTTTTAGTTTTCTAATAGTGAACTCAGCCTGGCTTTGTAAATACTGTAGAGCTCTGTTAGGATACTGTTTGTACCAGTAAGGAGCTCCACTTGTTAACAAAGAGCATTTCAGTGTAACAGATTCTCCTTCTTTTTTAAAAACAGTCTCCTGATCATTTGGTCCAATTTCATCAGCACCAAATACACCTGAAAGAAAAGTAAAAGAGAAATAACACTTACATTTGTAATACATGGTATATTCTCACTGCTTGTTAAGAACATGCTTACAGTGAGTACCTGATGTGATGATGAGAATGATGAGGAGGTTTCTCTTCATTGTGAATATGATCAGATGGAGTCAGTAGTGTGTTTAAGCTCTCAGTGCTCTAATGCTGATCTGTGTGTTAGTGTGAATCTCTCTGAAGTGAGTGCAGTTCTGAGAAACTACAACAGGAAACTCCTGCTCTGGGGAGCTGCTCCACTGTGCTTTCTGTCTGTGTGGAAGATCAAAGCAGAAATGAAAGTAAAACCACAAGTGTAAGTTAAAAGATAATGATCAGTAAATACTGAATGTAATGTATAAAAATAACTTAAAATGGAAAAAGAATTACTTTCCCAAGGACTTTCCAAGCCTGATGAAAATATACATTTCACATGGATCTATAACATGAAAACCAGGTAAGGTTGACCATTTGATCATTTGTTAGACCAGCTGTTTGATC